GGGTGGGGTGGGGGGGTAGGCCGGCTTGCAGTGTATGACCATTGGTTGATTGAATTATTATATATTCATGAGTGCAACAGTGTACATCACCCCTAACAACAACAAAAAAAAAAAAAAAAAAAAACACGGAGGGAAATGGAAGCAAATGCTGTTGAATGATGATGCATGAAGGGAATTATAGTCATTGCAATGAAAGGAAATACGATAGGATGAATGTAAAGCTGATGTTCTCCCATGTAAAGTATCATTCAATTCACAATAAAAACTTAAAAAAAAACAAAACAAAACTTGTGTAATTGTTATCATGACTAATTGTGATTGTCACAACTGTAAAGGTAGAAGTTGTGTAAAAGGGCAGAGTAATTAATCTTACATTCAGGAATAGAGGACCCTAGGGCCATCAAGAGGGAAGTGCAAGAGTAGAATGCAGAACATAGAGTTCTAACCAGAAAAGCAGTGACACCAGAAATGGAGGCACAGGTGATGACATGGAGAGATAAAGCATCTGAGGACTCTAGACTCATGGGAAAAAAAAGGCTGTGTGCTGGTAGGCAAAAGGCTGACCTGCAAAATGTGCCCTTTGGTTGTTTAAATGATTATATATTTCTGCATGTTTTTGTGTACATCAAAAACAGGGGGGTAGAGGATAGAGGCAAATACTGTTAACTGATGGAGGGGATTGTAATCATTGCAATGAAACAAAACATGATTGGCTGGGTGAAAACCAATTTTCTACAATGTAAACTATCACTTAATTCATAATAAAAGTAAAAAAAAAAAAAAAAAGCTTGTGAATGGCTATCAAATTTGCAACTATCGTCTCTCCCCATCCAGAGCAAAGAATGAGAGTAATCAGACACATGGAAACAATTAGTCCAATGTAAATTCCAGCCCCTTGAGACCAGAACTAGATGGAGCCTGGTTGCCACTGCTGACCCCTCTGAAAAGGATCACAATAGGAGATCCTGGACAGAGTGGCAGAAAAATATGGAACAAAATAAAAAATAATACAAAATAGACCAGGTTAACTGTTCTGATCGAGACTGATGGAACCCTCCCATCCTTCTCCCCTGTGGCCCTTAGTTACCCTTCAAGCCTGGAACTAAACTCATCTCCTTGGCTCAACTTTCAGCCACACAATAAACAGGCCTATGAAGTGAACAGTAACACCAAGGAGGTAGCACTCCTTAGAACAATCAACCACATGAGATCAAAAGGGCAGAATTTGCCCAGGGATACAGCTCAGAAGGCAGGAAGGGATAGAAATGAAGGACAAATGGATATGGTAAAAATGGTTACCTTGTGGTAATTGCAGTCAATGTTACAAAACAAAAATGTGTATGAACTGTTGAATGGAAAGCCAATTTGCTCTGTAAACTTTCACCAAAATCACAATAATTTAAAAAATAATATATAAAAAAGAAAATGCCTAATATGTTCCAGGCCTTTATATTATTATCTTATTTAATTCTTAAAACAAAACAAAAACTGCAAGGGTTTTTGAAAGGAACAAAGGGGAAAAGATGCCCTAGAAAGACGTTTGTGGAATGTAGAGGAGTGAGGCTAAGACCCAGAGGAAAAGCTAAAAGGGTATTGAAGATGACCACCTACTTGACTCCCCTCTTTCTGCCAGAAGATGGCAGGTTGGGGATTTCCTTTGGTCTCACATTGGAAAGCCACACTCTCTCCAAGAGCTGCCATCTGGTCTTGGGGTTGTATCACAAGCTGGGGTGGGACTGGGAAGGAGAAGGGAGATAAAGGAATAGGGTATCAGCAAGACTGAGGAAAGAGGAGACAGACAAGCCCACCTTTGACTGAAGTAAGAGCAAACATCCACCTCTTGCCTATTTAGCCTTTTTCCTCCTCTCCCTTTTCCTAGGAGACTCAGGCAACTCCTCCATCTCCCCACTATGTCCTTCTCTACAACACCCACTTTCCATTCTCCTCCGTGCTTACCCACCCTCCATCTTTCCTCCCATTCCTCCTGCTTTAGGCAGTCCCCAGTGGGGCTCTCACCATGAACACGGAGGGAGCCAGACGCTTCAGCACGGCCCACGCTGTTCTCGGCCACACAGGTGTAAGTCCCCTCGTCTTCAGCACTCACCCGCCCAATCCAAAGGCTGTGGTCACTCCGGATTTCATACCTGCTCCACTCCCCATCCCCAGACTGAATTGACCACAACTACAAACCCCTTCACTTTTCCCCAGGACACACACCAGGGGCAGGGCACACAAAAATAAGGCAGGACTGAGCAGGGACATAAACTGGGTCCATAAATGAAAAAAGATGGGGACTAGATAGGACAGGGACACAGTTTCTCAGTTCCTCCAGTGAGAAGGTGTCTACATCTCAGTGACTCTTTACTGGCAGAAAGAAGGGGGTTCTCACCTGCCTGCGGGCAATTCCCCATCCTCCTTGCGCCAGCGCAGCTGAGGAGGGGGATCCCCTTGCACTTCACATGGGAAATCCACTGGAGCATCAACCAGGACCACCTGATTCACTGGTCTACGCAGGAATGAGGGGCGTTCTATGAAGGGTGAGTGAGTAAACAAACAGTCATGGGGTCTATGTAGGTACTTACTCTCTAGCCTACCCACTGCCATTATTCCAAAACTCCCCTGTCTACCTAGTACCAGAAGTTCAGCTGCCCCACTTTCGCGCTCTCCTGCCATGTTGGAGGCCACACACACATACATTCCTGCGTCACTCTTGAGTGTATGTGACATCATCAGCTTCCCTCCACGGATCTGCAGAGTAAACATGGCAACTTTAGTTCTTTACAGTCATCAAAACATTTGATATACATTATTTATTTGATTCTCACAGCAAACATCAAGTGAAGAAGACTGGCCAAGTTTTTTCACTTATCTGCCTAAGATGGGGCTCTGGTTTATCTATCTTTTTCCTAAAGCTCAAACCACTGCCCACCAGTCACTGGAATATCAGACTCCCTAACCATACACCATCTTGATAAAATCCTCACCACTGGACCAATAAACAACATTCTTATCAACGGAGAAAAGATTGAAGTTGTCAAGGACTTCATTCTTCTTGGATCAACTATCAACACTCACAGAAGCAGCAATCAATAGATCAGACAACATATTGCATTAGGCAAATCTGCTGCACAGGAACTTTTTAAAGTGTTGAAGAGCAAAGATATCAGCTTGAGGACTAAGGTGAGCCTGATCCAAGCCATGGTATTTTCAATAACCTCATATGCATGTGAAAGTTGGACAGTGAATAAGGAAGACCGTAGAAGAATTGATGCCTTTGAATTATGGTGTTGGAGGAGAACACTAAAAGTGCCATGGACTGCCAAAAGAACCAATAGATCCATTTTGGAAGAAGTGCAGCCAGAGTGCTCCTTAGAGGGCAAGATGGCCAAACTTCATCTCTCATACTTCAGACATATTGTCAGGAGGGACCAGTTGCTAGAGAAGGATATCACGTTTGGTAAGACCCCCAACGAGATGGATTGGCCAGGTGGCAGCATCCATGGACTCAAGTGTGGCAACAGTAGTGAGGTTGGCCCAGGATCAGACATTGTTTCATTCTGCTGTGCATAAGGTGGCTATCAGTTGGTGCCAACTCAATGGCACCTAACAACAACATCCATACACCAGAGTCCTGGTGTGGTGCTGTGGGCTAATGCGTCAGACTGCAAAGTTGTTTGAACTGTAAGGTTAGTGGTTCAAGCTCACCATTTGCTCCTTGGAAACCCTATACAGGGTCACTATGGGTCAGAATTGACTCAATGGCACTTAACAACAACAATCCATATACCAGTTCCATCCTACCCTCATTCAATAACTGACTCTTAAACACGGGCCAGCTGGTGCCCTATCACAACTCTCCAGCCTTATCACTTCCAAGATACTGCTCTCATCCATTACAATATCCTTGGAACATTACCTATCCCTATCCTTTGGAAAAGCTTTTCAGTCTTGGAAACCCTATGGGATAGTTCTAGTCTGTGGTAATGGGTTACTAGGAGTCGAAATCCACTGAACAACAACAAGTTAGCAATGACCTGGCCCTTACCGCGATCCTTCCCACTTCCTCCTTAATTCTTGCACTGTTCTTCTTCCAGAAAACCAAGGGCTCTGGGTGGCCTCGAGGAGGCACGCATTCCATTACAGCTGGCTCCCCCACCGCCACCACCAAGTTTCCAGGAGACTGCCGAAAATCGTCTCGGAGCACTGGAGGAGGAGTAAGAGAATGGTGTAGGGGAGCTCTGGTGTCGAAAAGATTAAGCGCCGGGCTTAATCGAAAAGATTAACCAAAGGTTGATGGTTCGAACCCACCCAACAACTCCGCAGGTGAAAGACCTAGTGATCTGCTTCTTTAAAGATTGTTGTTCTGATTCATAGCACCCTGTATACAAAGAGGAGCGGTTGGTGAGTTTGAAACAGCTTGCGATCCAGTGATTATCTTACAGCCAAGAAAATCCTCTGTCACATGAGGTCGCTATGAATCGAAAACGACTGCACGTACCTAATGACAATGGGAGTGATGTAACTGGATAAGGACACAGGGAAATTGTTTTGGATATGAGTGAATTCCTGCAGACCCTTTCCTAAGACCACCTTTTCCTCTGACTTGGGCGTGGGTATTAGAGACCAAACGTCCCAAAGGAAGGGATGTGTTCTGAGTCCAACTTTCGAGTGTTCTCTAGCTTCTCCCAGGTTCTGCAGCAACCCTCAGACCCAGGGACACTCACCTGCCACTTCCAGAGAGGCGTTTCTGCTAGCCGCTGCTCCCAAATAGTTTCGGGCTACGCAAGTATAGACGCCTTCGTCCGGCCTCGCGCGGCGCCCGTGCACGATGCGCGGGAAGAAGAGGGCGCCACTGGGCAGTAGCAGGCGGTGTGCACGCGGATCGTCGCGCGCAGTAGCCACACGCGCCCCGTTCTTGTACCACTCGATATTGGGCCGGGGCCGGCCCTCGGCGCGGCAGCGTAGAGTGACTTGTTCGCCTCGTGACACTAACAGATCTGGAGGCTGCTCCACGATGCGCGGCATCGCGTCCTTCCGCCCTACCCTAGACTCTGGGGAGACAGGGATGGGGGGGTGACAAAGAGCGTTCAGACTGGGAAACGGGAGGAGGGTGAATTGAGTGCCAGAAGGAAAGAGAGCCTTCCTGCCGTATCTCCCGTGCTTCAGTGTGCCTGCATGGTTTGCTAACCTTCCTTTGTGGCCTCCAGTATGCTCTTTTTGGCCGACGCCCCACATTTTTAGGCTAAAAGGGAGATGGCTACAGTAGAGGAATCAGGACATAAAACCCTCAACCGACTTTCTTTCTGCCTAAAGACTTATTCATGCATCCTTTCTGGCCAAGTCTAAGTGGGGAGTGATTGGGTCATGGCAGGACAAATAAATAGACGGACTGGTACACCGAGTATCTGCTTGGAAAAACGAAACGAAGCAAAACAAAACATTGCAAAGACAATCCTGCGCCCGTGAGTGCTTCGAGAGACCTGCAAGCGTCTGGTTTTCAGTTCCCATTCTGATTTGTACAAGTCCTAGCACAGTGAACAACAACATTACGCTGGGATCTAGGTTCTTCGCCTGCTCACAGGCGGGTGAAATGGAAATGAACCAGCCTGAGGCACACTGGATATTATGATAGGAAGACCTGGGTATTAGGGTTGGGCATCATTTCTTGTTAAGTGCCCTGGAGTCAGTTCCCACTCATTGTTGTTGTTATGTGTCGTGGAGTCAGTTCTGACTCAGAGTGACCCTGTACAGGGTTTCCGAGGCTTTAAATCTTTAAATTTCTCCCGCGGAACAGCTGGTAGTTTCGAACTGCTGACCTTGTGGTTCGCAGCCCGATTCGTAACCACTACGCTACCAGAGCTCCTTTCATAGAGACCCTATTTTTGAGGCGGTACATATTTGCTGGAGCATCTTTCTCCAGCGGGACAGCTGGTGGACTCGAGCTGCCGACCTTGCGGTTTGCAGTCCAGTGTTTATCCTACAGGTCCTCTGCACTCTCTATGTCTTTTAAATCTGAAGTCCACGAATGTACTTCGGGTACATTTCAGATGAATTCTAAGAAATCGGATGCAAATGGTAACGGGTATATGAGTAATGTTCCTTTTACCTGAGAGGTGCCGTTTTATGGTTTAGAGTCCTGGTGTGTCGCTGTGGGTTAATGCGTTGGCCTACAAAGTAGGTTTGAAACGCAAGATCGAGCCGCTCCTCGGAAACCCAGGGTGGCTATGAGTTGGAACCGATTGATTGCATTTAACAACAACAACCTAACAAGTTGCTCAAGACTCAAGAAAGCTTAAGTACTCAAATCATATTCTGCCCTTCTCTCACAGGAAGCCGATAGCTGCATAAGATAAACACTGCACTTCTAACCACAAGGTCCACGGTTCGAGCCCGCCAGCCTCTCCGGGAAAAAAGATGAGGCTTTCTGCTCCCGCAAAGATTTAAAGCCTCGGAAACCCTATACAGGTTCGCTATGAGTCGGATCGGCTCGAGAGCACTTAACAACACACACTTGAACTACAGACTTCTGCCCGCTTAGTCTTCTGTAGAACAATTTAAGACTCCGGACTCAGGAGAGGGTTATGCTCAGGCATTCGGGTTCCCAGTCCCGCTATCAGAAATCGGTTCTGCTAGGACGTGCGTTGCAGCCTTGCGTAACTCTACGTCTTAAAATAACTAGACACCTCTCGGCTGACGTTCTGTGCTTCTTCCTGACCCCTCCTACCCTTGCTCCTAAATCCGCGGGAAACTTTTCTAGCCTTAGTGTGGTGGTGGTGGTGTGGTGGTGATGGTTATGTGCCGTGGAGTCGATTCCGACACACAGACTCTGAATAGAATTTCCGAGGCTGTAAATCTTTACGAGAGCAGATTTACTATAAATCTTTCTCCCGCGGAATGGCTGATGGTTTCGAACTGCTGACCTTGAGGTTAATTGCCTGACTCATAACCACTGGATTGGTTTAATTTCCTGCTCCTCCTCTTAGAAACTTTGCTGGAGAAACAAAGGGAACGGGTTGCCCTTTGTTGGCACCATTTAGGGGAGAGAGTGACTGATTGGGATCTGGTTTTCCTTCACTTGGAGAATGGAGTTTGTTTTTTTAATCTACTCCCTTCCAAATGGAAATCTCTGCTCCTCACTCCCACATTTTTTTGTCATCACATCTTAGTCCCAATTTAGATAAACTCCATAGTGGACGACACAGGAGTAGTTAAATAAATGCTTAGGCGTTGGTTCAATCAGGACGGTAACCTCAGACATCCACACTTCCCAGCTGTAAGAATTTGAGAAAATCGTTTAACTTCTTTGGTCTCAATTTCTCCACCTGTGAAATGCGAGAATTCATAGGCCATATATTCAACAGTACTATGTAAAACATACACACACCAAAAAACAAGTACCACAGAGTGGACTTCATCCCATGTATGTCAAGGAATTGCTCCATAGGATAAGAATCAATAAATTATAACTATTCTACCATTATTTAAGGACTCTCCTTCTCCAGCCCACCTCACCTTATCCAGGATCCTACACTCTCTACCTGAATTAGACACCAGAATCAGGCCCCAGTAGTCCCTTTTTCCTCCTCTCACAGAACCCTCCCTCGGATGTAATGGGAATAGATTTAATTCTGTTATTGCTGAGGTTTTCTTCACGTTGGTTTTATGACCACTGGGTATCACTCACGCTCTAAATTTGCTTCCTTAGCGGCAAAATTTAACAATATCTCCCCTACAAACCTCAGTAGGTTTTCAAGCGTAAACTAGACAATGCATGGCGAAAACGCTCTGTGAAGGCGCTGGGTAAGTAGAGGCATGATTAGCTGAGGTTTCTGCTGGAAAGGCTGTGCTGTGCAGGATGTAGGAAGTCTTGAGATTGAAGAATCCCATTTCACTCCCCATACACACACAATACACCCTTTGGTTTGGTCCTCCCTAATTCCTGCAGACACCAGCTGCAGGCACCCCACCCTGGAATTTCTTCTCTGTCATTTCCAGTCTCTAGAGATACTTTACATCAGCCTAATGAATAGCTAATATCCATGTTAATGAGAACCTGGAACTCCTCCCCCTACACCTGGAGTATTTCCCCTTTAAAAAAAACGCATATGCACTCTGCCGGGACTTCATTCCTCACCATTCAGCTACACCTCCACCCGAAGGAGGGCGGAAGGTTAGCGGGATTGTCACCTGGGAAGAACTACGTGGAAAGGCGTTCCGAAAGAAGGGGTTTCCCATGTGACCGATAGGGGGTGCGATCGGATCTCTTTGCAAATTACTCTTGGAGCCTCCCCGCGGAGTGCTGCTGTACTAGTCTTTGTATTGATCACCATAATTAGAGGTAACGAACTCGCTACTAGCACTGCTCTCCTACCACAGCGCTGCTGGGGTTGGCCGACCGGGAACCCCACTACAAACTTTTAAGTTTCCATAGTACGATTGCTGTCCATCCCCCTCAGTTAGCAAACACATTCAACTTTTGGCTTCCTCAACGTCAGGTCCGAAAACTTCAGGTCCGAAAGAAGACCTGCTCCTTTAAGGGGTGGGTCATTGGGTAGTGGGGCTAGGTCCACATCCTTGTTCCCTCTTTGTGCCCTCCCTATCGCTCAGGCTTGTCTGATCTCCAAACTTTCGGTCACCAGCCCCGGTTCCCTTCATTTGGGGTAGGCGAGGGGGCGACTGGGGAGGTGGGATATCTTGGACTGAACGACCATCTTCTCTTAAGTCTTCCGCCTCTCATCGGTGCTGAAACCCTAAACTGAAGCCCCCCAGACGTTGGAAGCCTCATTCTGCTTTTTGGTTCCGATGACTGACCCCTGGTAGCACGGAGAGGGGCCGTTCAGTTCCAAATCTCCTTTCCCTCCAGTTTTCCCCTCTCCCACTCCATCCCACCCTATGTCCGACATCCCCAAACCGGCAGGGTCTCACCATTGAGAGAGGGGTCGCCGGGGGGCAGCAGGCTGTGGTTGAGCGCCGCCAACGAGGAATTGAAGCCCAAGAACAGCTCGCTGGAGTTGGAGATGTCCCCAGCTAGGGTATCGGCAAATAAGTTCATTTGCAACAGCATTTTTAGCAAATAGCGCAGCATGGTGCGAACGGGCTGGTTTCGCGGCCGGGGGCTCCGGACCCTTGCTCTGGGTCTGAGCCCCACGGGCCGGGAGCCAGCCCGCCCTCCACAGTCTCTGCGCGCTGCCGCAGCCACGGTGCCGCTGTCCTGCCGGCTCGCCTGGGACGGTCCGGGTCTCCGCTTGCCCTCCGCCTCCTTTCGTCCTTCTTTCACTCTACCCCCACCCTTCCCACCCTACTGGGTCCCCTGGGAGCTGCTCAGGCTGAAAGCAGGTGCCATGCGGCCCATGGCGTAATTACAGGATTAATCCGCATCACTTCGCGCTCCCGCCTCTTTCTGATAACCACGAGCAGGGCAGGAGCCTGAGTCTCTAGCGTAAGTTGGAAGCCCTCCCTGCGTCCACCATCCCTTTCTTAAAGCATCCAAAATGAGAGATGGAGGATACGCTGCTGGTCTCTGTCCTTCTACCAGACTTTAGAACAGGAACCCTTGCTCTCTGTTCCAGCCCGGTAGGGAAACCCTGGCAAAGTACAAACGCTCTCCTTTAGTTCTCAACTGTGAATCAGATGCCCTCGTTTCCATTTCCTCCCAAATCCTGGGCTTGGCAGCAGGAGTGAAGGAGGCAGGGGTGGCTTGGAGCAGGAGTTGAGGACAGGAAGAACAGAATTCCACCGAGGCCCCATACTCTTTGCCGCTGTGCCCTCGGGTCTGCAGTCGCGAGTCCAATGCGGAGATACTGCCTCCTGACCTGGAAGTCCTGTTCCAGAAGCCTGGGAACTCCTGCAGGCTACTCAAACAGATCAAACTGCAAAGGGAAAGTCTAGGGAAATCCAAACAATTTTAATTTATTTGCATGCCTTTTGCATTACTCTGCCCTGACATGTTTTATTAAATTCTTTTACATTTTTAAGAACACTTAAAGGAAACCAGGGAGTTCTGGACAAATACAAAGAGAGGAATATTGTTTCTGTAAATGCAACTGTAAAAGAAGAGACAAAATTGATGAAAATCTGCTTTTGAATCAGAAAGGAGATAAAACTCACAACCCCCAGTCCCAGCCTTCCTCTTACTTTTCTGGAATTCTTTCTGTTTAAAGATCTTGCCCTTCACCCTGTAAACACACACACATTCTTGGCTGGAGATGGCATTTGGGTGGTAGAGAAATAGAGAGATTCCTGAGTTGCTTTCTGGGATAAGTACCCAAGACCCGCTGATGGGTGAGTGGTAGGATGCTGACAACCTTAGTGCTGGCTCTAGGCAATGAGACAACCTTCCAAGGGTAGCTCTTTCTGAGATCCAGAGAAGTGGGTGCTACAAAGTCATGTAGATTCAAAAAAAGCAATCAAAAGCCCAGAGTAAGTAGAGTTAAGTGCTGAAGTATTTCAGGCAGAGGAACACTCAAGTAAATGAGGAACTTTGTCACAGAATGAAAGACTTGTCTGAAGATCCCTCCCTCAACTCACCCACCTGGCTGTAGGATCTCAAACTATGTATGAGGTGTTTAGGTGTCTCCTTTAACCAAAAGAACAAGGTGAGCCATCAAAGTGTAGTGGGAAGCAGGGCTCTGGGAACTGTTATTTCAGCATCTCATTGTCTATGCTGGCCTAGGGGTCTGGTGTCCATCTGCCCACTCCTTTTAAGTGTATTTCAAAGCATAGCGACCTATAGGACAGAGTACATCTGTGCCATAGGGGTTCTGAGGTTGTAAATCTATATGAAAGCAGACTGCCTCATTTTTCTCCCTGGGAATGCCTTGTGGGTTCCAACTGCCAACCTCAATGCTTGACTCGCTGTGCTACCAGAACTCCTTCTGGCACCCACAGACATCTTAAATGAAACAAATTTAGAGGAAGAGATGGACTGGGGTAAGAGAGGGGTTAGTGATACATTCTTATTAAATGAAGACGATACTACAGCTAGGATTTGAGGTATCTGTCCCTTGCTCCAGTGCCAGGCTGCATTCAAGTAGTAGATGGTAAGGATATAATATCTCACAGGAAGTCTAGCCCTTCAGGAGTGACCAACCCAGAAGTGGGTCTCAATCCTATATTTGCCTAATACAGGGTGCTACCTCAGTTTCCCCAGCTGTAAATGAGGAAACGGGCTATTAGATTCCAGGTCCTAGAGACTTCTGTTCTGCTGATTTGGGTCACCCAGTTTGAATCACACCAGAGCCCAACCAAGACAGAAATCCCAAGTCCTAGCACCAGGTTCTCTTCTGGGCGGAAAAGGAGTGCAGCAGGAAGACTAGCCCCAATATGTGGATCCTACCAGTCCTAATCCCTTAATTTGCTTCTGGTTGTCCTCTCAGCAAACACAGGATCCGCCAGCGTCTAGGGGCTTGTCACTTTGTTAGCGGATTTGTTCCTGGAGATTGCACAGTTAATTGGCCCTTTATGGGGGGAATCAGGGTGTATTTGCTTTGGGTTCCCTGAGTGTATGCAGCACCAACTCAGCCCAAGGGCAGGGCTAATTCCTAGTTCCGACATACAGGGTTTGGAGGCTGCACAAGTAGTTAGGCCATCCCCACCCTCTTTCCAGGATTCTCCCCAGGTAGAATCTCCCATCTCTCTTTTGTGTTCTCTGCATTCCACCTCCTCTTTTCATTCTTCATCTTGTTTCTCTTCTTTCTTTCCACATCTTTTAAGATCTCCCTATAAAACATCTAAGATATACTGCTGAAAAGGAAAAAAAAGGAGAACAAATACTTCCCAGTGTTCTAGGAGCCCGGGACCTGGGAGAGGATGAAAAGAGACGATCCAGTAGAGGTCACACATACCCTTGCTCTTCTTCCTTCTTCTTTCTCTTCTTCACTCAAGGGCAGTCTGTCCTGAACTATTTCAAATTCTGGTCCTGAACTATTTCAAATTCAGTTTATCTCTGAGATATTTCTATAGGCAGTTTTGGAAAGGTTTTGCCTTCTACTTGTCTCTGAGAGACTACTTCGGAAGAACCAGCACAACTATTTGGTGTTTACCTCTTGTTTAGGAGGATAGGTACATGGATAATTTCTTTTTAGAAAGATCAGCACAATATTGGTCCCTATGAGTTAGAGGCTAAAGATACTCCAACAACAATCAAGAGGTGGGTTCAAATCCACCAACCACTCCTTAGGAGAAAGAGACCAATCTACTTGTTTTAAAAATTTACAGTTTTGGAAACCCTATGTGGCAGGTCTACTCTGCACTACTCTGGAATCCGCTCAACAGCAAGACATTTGATTTTGGGGTACAGTATCCAGAACACTCTGAAACCTGTACTACAATGGGAGGGACCTTCTCCCCCTGGAAGTTCCTTCATTTGATTTCCAAGTTTCCACCTTAAATTGAAGAAAGAGCTGAGTTCAGGGTTCCTTACCGCCTATTTTCTCAAGAGACTACTTCTTTTCCAGGGTTTTATCAACAATGCAGTCCACTGAAATACTTTTGAAAAGGTAAGGTACAAAATCATCACCAACAACAAATTCATTTACAACACCCCCGCTCCCCACCTTGCCTCCAGCATCCAATAATTCTCTGTGCTTAGACTCCTTGGTATACAACAAGTATAGGTGTGTTGAGGGGAGGGGAAGAAATAACACCTGCCCCCCACCACTACCTCCACTACCTCCACTCCACTAAACTGTGTCTATGAATGGCCCAGCAGGGTTGCTGGCTTCTGAAAGATGATGCTAGGGAGCAGTGACCTAGCCAGAGGACCAAAACAGGAGGGGGGAATCAGAAAGCAAAGAGATCTGTTGAAAAGCAAACAGCAGGAGCCTGCCCCTGGCAGGAGACAGAGTTTGTTGGCTCAACCCCTGTAGTTGCTGAGGTAATAAGTCAACTCCACCCCCAAGAGTACCCCTTCCCCTACAAGGTTTCACTGAAGGAGAATGTGAAGATACTTTGCAACATCCTTTCTAGAAATCTGGAGGCAACTGGACAGAAATGGCCACATCCCAGTAATGATGAAACAAAGGAAGGAAGAAAAAGAGCTTTCTTGCTTCCTTTCATAAAACTAGCATAGTACCTGGTACAGAGCAAGCACTCCATAATGTTGAGTAGTTAAATGCCCCCCTCAGAGCTCACTAACCTTCTCTTCTCTAGATTAAAGAACCCACACTGCTTTTAACTCTGCCTGTTTCTCAGTCTATCTCTCTTCCTACCCCGTTCTTTTTTTCCCTGCCTTCCCTGCCTTTCTTTCCCTCTCAATAATTCCTGATGCTCTCACTGGGATCCTATTTTGATATTTTTAAACATAATTTCATTATTATAAACATAATACATGCTCATGCAAAAATTTTTAAGCAGTTTAAGACAAACAGCTGAAGTCTCCTTCCCCGTCAGTCTTTCTTCATACTACAGATTAACTTGCTTGGGGTAGTTACTGGTGGTTTCTTGTGAATCCTTCCAGATTTTAAATAAGCGCCACCACTCATCTGTCAATTTGTTGTATTCTGGTGGCTTGTGATGCTAGAAGCTATGCCACTGATATTTTAAATACCAACAGGATCACCCATAGTGGGCCTGTAGAGCTTCCACTAGGAATAAGAAGAGGCAGATCACTTCTGAAAAGCTAGCCACTGAAAAACCTTATAATCAACAGTGGAACATTGTCTGATATAGTTCCAGAAGATGAGCCCCTCAAGTTGGAAGACTCTCAAAATATGACTGGGGAAGGTCTGCCTCTTCAAAGTGGTGTTGACTCTAATGGCTTGGATAGAGTAAAGCTTTTGGGGCCTTAATTTGCTAATGAATCACAACTCAAAATGAGAAGAAACAAACATCCATTAATAATTGGAATGTGGAATGTATAAAACATAAACCTAAGAAAATTGGAAGTCATCAAAACAAAATGGAACATTTAAAGATCAATGTATCTTTGGTATTAGTGAGCTGAAATGGACAGGTATTGGCCATTTTGAATCAGACAATCCTATAGTTTACTATGTCAGCAATGACAAACTGAAGAGGAATGACATCACATTCATCATCAAAAAGAGCATTTCTAGATCTATCTTGAAGTACAATGCTGTCCGTGAT